AGTTATATGGCATCAAATGCACAATAAATGCATATCTTTGTGGGAGCTGTTTCTGCCTTTCTTGTACAATCTTGTTTCCTCTGTATGAAATTAAGAATTTGAATTATATGATATGATGAACATATTATTTTGAATTCATCTCTTTCCCAGTTTTCTTGTGACTCATCTGACAGTCTGGCTCCACCGCTCTTGTTTTGAGTTTGTAACTCCTGTTGTCAGTCAAACATTCAAATAAAACCAACAGGACACATCAAGGACTAATCTGACATTTTCCTTTTCTTTTCCAGTATGAAAAAGAATCTTAAGAAGTAACTGGGCGTAATTAACTTGTAAGTTGCTGCATGGATGAAACTTTGAAATGTTGCTTTCATGCTACTTTGAATCTTTGATATGCTCAAATTGATAGTTCCAAGTTATCTCTCTATAAAGACTAAAGAGATAAGATCAAACTTTCCTTGGATGCTAATTAAGAAAAGTCAGAGAAAAATGAAAATTACTTCATTTACATTATGAGAATATTTGCCACGATTTTACAGTATGGGAACTCTCAGCTGTATCTTCCACAAAAAAAATAAAAAAAAAGGTACAACTCCATTAGCTTCATTAGATAGAAAATCCTTAGGACATTGTCCAAAATACAGAGAGTTTTTATCGAGAAATTTTAACCCAAAAGGAAAAGCATAGAAACTTCACCACAGCAGGTTGTGCCTTTCTTTTACTTCTTCGGATGCAGAATAATATGAGTTGCAGTAATCTCAAGTAGCACACAAGATCATTTTGATAAACCTTAGATATGAACATGAGAGGAGAAGGCCATTATGAAGAAAACAGCAAATGATTCAAAGTACCTAAACTTGTGTGGTTAAAGGTATGTGAGAAAACTCAACAAAATTTGTCTACATGCAATAAAATGGTCAATGTTTGCTGTTAAAACCAGCAATCAGATGTCTAAAAATTACTGCAGGCCAGTGAGTGAGAGAAACTTTACCAAACAAAATGCAACAACCAGAAATGAAAATTCTAGGCTAGAAATGAGAAAGTGTATATATACCTTGAAATCCTGGATGATGGGGGCAGCAAGGTAGAATAATAAAGGAACAGTGGCACGTGATATTGGCACGGCTCAATCAAAAAGCAGAGCTCAAGCACTTAGAGCACTGCTTTCTTATTGAACCGGACCAATATCCCGTTAAACCGATCCATCTCTTACCTCTTTGGCTTCCTTGTATCTTTTCAGAAACTATGCTACAAAACAAACAAACCCTTTTCATCTTTACACAAACAAAGCAAAAGACAGAGAGAAAAAATAAAATGTTGTAAGCAGAAGTGAAATGAAGTCTATGGTTTTGGAAGGAAACAGAAGAAACGATCACTTCCAAACCATATCAAGCTTAGATTATATGCCATAAATCAAACAAAGTGTAGCAACAAGGTTCAATTGGATGGCAAAAAAAGAACAAAAAGCAAATATCTTTTCACAAAATAAGCTACAAAACAAACCCTTTTCGTTTTTATCCTAACAAAACAAAATACGGAGAGAAAAAGAAAAGACTGCAAGCAGAAATGAAATAAAATACATGGTTTGGAAGGAACAGAGCAAATGGTCACTTCCAAACCGTATCAGGCTAGATTATATATCACAAACAAAACTATCGAAGTAGACTCCAACAAGGTTTATTTGGGTTATCAAAAACAAATAAATGAGGGAAAAAAAGGAGAGAAAGAAGGCAATTTGGAAATGGGCATGGGGTGGTGGAGAACAACATGAACGTATTAATAATGCAGAGCAGCAGAGAGAGAGAGAGGTGAACGTCTCTTTAAGAAGGTAATGCCCAACAAAGAGAGATGGCTTGGCCACTAGTGGTGTGGTAGCATTGAAGAAGTTGCATTAAAATTTCCAACCACCTCACAACAAAGGAAGTTGAGAATATTAATTTAAAACCAGGTACAAGAATCGGGAAAAAAAAAAGTTCACGGACACAAATCTGGGGCTTTAAATGTGTGCATTTATGGATGATGGGGTAGGGGAAGAGAGATGTTCGTTCTGTTCAATCCGCATTTATGTTATGTTTTATCAAACAGAGAGAACCTTTGTTTTGTTTTGGAGCTTTTGGTTTGGTTTGGTTATGTGTTGTACCTTTTACCATTACATCTCCCATCCCATGAACCTCTCTATCTATTAGCAACACTTCGTAGGTAATAGGTTGTGTGATTCAATTCAAACTCTTTCACTACAAATGCATATTTTTTTAGTGTTTTCAAATGTTATTTGCCTGCAATTCTTTAGGAAAAAGGTATCTCTCTCCCTCTCCCTCTCCCTCTCTGCAATGCAATGTGTGCATTAATGAACTTTGTAGGCCAAACAAGGCAGAGCTGCCTAGACGCCTACTAGTCCTATACATGTAAACGTGCCATACGTTTTGTTTAGCTGCAAACCTAATTCTAATTGTCAAATTGCCATCATTTGATCAAGGACTCTATGTCTATGGGCTTTGTAGTGAGACCCCAAAATTGTATAGGTGAGAGGTCAGAGATGGGAAAAAGTTGTCCACAATGTGGAAAGATTTATGGGCAACTTTGCAAGGAAAGGACTTGCCAAAAGATTGATGAAGATGAGTTGCCCCTGTCAACTTTTTAAGATCCAGAAGCGCCACCCCAAAAAAATAAAATAATAACAAATAAATATTGAGTGTAGACAAATTAGACAAAGTAATGATTTCTCTGACCTTGAAACTTCTTAATTAGCTTCGGGTTTGTTGCAATTTGCAAACGAGGACATGAGTTGCAAACAAGGATTTCTTTTGAAAACAAACCTTATAAAAAGAAGCTGATTTTAATTAAAAATTAAAGGTGAAAAGATCAACATACCCTTTTAAGTAACTTTTGTAAATTCAATTCTATAACAATGTCTTTTGCGATCCACTTCTGCGATTCCGAAACCAGTCTACCACAAATTGTTTGCATACCGGTATGCATCTCAATCTCAGATGTCCATCCATCACTGCTTCTGTCTATGTTATGAAGATTTCTTGAGGCAGGGGGGGTTATATTTTGCATGTTTTATGTAACGAGTTGGTGACATTTGGAGAGTGGATGACGTTGTGGAGTACTCTAGATGAGTATATGGGATTTGATAAGATACGATGGAGGTTTTGTTGTGATGCACTTGAGAGATATCACCGATTCCATCTCAACGTGTCATTATATATTACATTCTATCTTAACGTGTTGGTATATGCCACATTCTATCTTAACGTGTTATTTCACACCACATTCCATCTTAACGTGTCATTACATACTGCATTCCACCTTAACGTGTCAGTATATATACCAAATCCTATCTTAACGTGTCTATATATATAACATTCCATCTTAACATGTCTGTATATACCACATTCAATATTAACGTGTCACTTCACATCACATCCCCATCTTAATGTGTCATTAACTCCATGTTTGTACTTGACATAATAATAAGTTGGCTTTTTTAATTTTATTAACATTCGATGACTGAGATTCAACTAATATTAAAATCTTAGTTAAATTTCATTCAAAATCGATGAAACGATTGACATAGTGATGAAGTTGGGTAGGTTGTCGATATATATACCACATCATAACTTAACGTGTCTATATATATACCACATCCTATCAAGTCAAGATGTGTCTATGGTGATGAGTTATGTTGCGGAATACCTAAGATTTTAATATTGAGATAGTGATGATACGATTGACAAACCTACCCAACTCCATCTTGACCTGTCATTGCAAATCCCATTCCACATCTACACCTATCATATATAATAAGTGGGTCTCCTTTTATGATCACAATTAACTCTCGATCCAATCTCAAATTTGCATGAATTTTGCATTGATAATTAATTAATTAATTTTAAGCATATTTGGTATGCTTCCCTCTAACGAGTTCATGCCATTTGAGTGTCAATGACGTTGTGGAGTATTCAAAATGAGTAGATGGGATTTGTTATGATGTGATCGAACATTAATACAAGAGTGAGATATATCATGTCATTTTAAAATTGAGATTGTGATGAGATGTATCATTGTGCATCACATTTCATATCTATTCTTGACATAATAGATCATGTCTTTTATATATACCATGAGGGTTGGATGAGAATTGGTAAAGATGTCCTAGATTTTGTATAGATTTTATTTCTTGTAATGGGGCTATGCCATTTCAAGTGCGGAACAAGTTCTCGTGGAGTATATATGAGCTTTCATAAGATGCGGCCGATTACTGATCCAATTGTAATCAGGTACTGGACCTCAATGAGTCAGTTACTCACCATATCTGTATTGGCCCAATAGTTTCCCCTTTTCTTTTCTAGAAAAATCTTTAAAATTCTTTTTTTCCTAGGACATTTTTCAAATATGTGAAGTTTTTCTAAAACAAGAGAGAGACTTTGGAAAAACCCAAAGAAGAGAGAAATTTTGTAAAAGAAGCGAAAATGGACAAATTTGCCCTTATTTAGTTTTGAATTTCCTAAGAAATCATTTACACTTGCATGTCTTTGATTTGAAAGTTGAGAGGTTTTTCTGTCCTTTTAAAAAAAGTTTTGGCTTTTTCCAAAAGTGAAATTTTTTTTATGGCTAAAACCTAAATTTATTAAACCGAGACGGGAATAATACTACCAAATAAATATGTGAAGTTGATTGAATGAATGATCACGTGTAGTATGTGAACTGGAGTAACATAGATATTAATACATATTATGCATACATGAGTTATGTGACTTGATTATAAGTCATGTTATTTTGTTACGAGTTGCAACCGTTTATAAGTCATGTTATTCTGTTACGAGTGTTCGTTTCTTTGCAACCGTTTATAAGTCATGTTTTTCTGTTACCAACAGTGTTGATTCATCTCATGTATATATATAGTAATACTATTTTTAACTCTTTCGTAACATTCTGATAAAACTAGAAAGTAATAAATAGAAAAAACTTACTGTTCTGTTCGTTGAAAGAAGATTATAAAAAAAAAAAAAAAAAAAAAAAAATCTTCGGTTTATAGTTATTGCACACGCTTTAGGTTGGGAGGCTTGCTCGCCCATTGATCTCTCTCCAATTTGGTAACCAATAAATTTCAATTGATTATTAAATTTTTTATTTAATTGATCTCACCACTTATTAAAACCCTACTTCTCTTGTTCGTCGATATTTTGGGGTTTGCAGAATCGTCCCATGGCCAAAAGCGCGTTCAAGATGGAGCACCCTCTCGGTTCGTTTTCTATTTTATAAGAAATTTTTCAAAAGAATTTCGTTCTATTATTTCGTTTTTCCTTTAGTTTCAGAATTGTTGTTGATGATTAGGGGCCCTATATTTGTAACATTGTGCTTCTGTGGAAATTCTGCCTAAATCACCCGAAAGTTTTTATCTTTCAATCCCTAATTTCTTGTGGTTGCAGGATAACTTAAATAATAAATTAGGTATAGAATTGTAGTGTTCGTATGAAGCTCTTGAAACCTGCAAGGCAAAATCCAAGTACCCTGGAATTTTCTATTTTCCCATCTTAATCGCAGCAGTTGATTTTTGTTCTTGAGCCTATTACGTTTGTTATATGCTTTGGCTGCCCATGAATATAAATAAATATAGGAAAGAGTTACAAGTTCTATGTAGAAATACATGGTCACTGAATTTTGGTGTATATGATTTGGTAGCTGAGAAATTGTCGAAAAAGTGAAATTAAACCGTCACAAGTTCTATTTAGAAATTGTTGATTATTATGTCTTATCATGCTTAGTCTTTTCTTTTGAATGTTGTTCTTTAAGGTATATGTAGTTTTACA